ATGTAAGTGATACGCAGTGGAAGAATATCCAACCCTGCCAGAATGCTGCACTGAGAACTGCAACAGGGTGTCTCTTCATAACTCCAATGGATCATCTTCATAAGGAGACGAAGATCTTACCAGTCCATCGACACAATTATATGTTCTCGATGTAGTACTTGCTTGGGTGCTATCGTCAGGAACACCCCTGCCATAGTCTTATTGACAGGACTCCCCCGCCAGGAAAGATCTTCATGATCTATAGAGGGAGAACCAAAGATATAAACGTGAACACCTAGATCAAGAAGCCTATCAAGCAAGTCTGAATGGTACTCACACGGACGCAGTCGTTCAGCCAGTAGATCAATATCGTGTGAACACCATAATCGGAGACCACCCCCCATCCATCGCAGTAGCACTCCAGACAACCACAAGTAGTCTTAGCTTAGGATGGTGCAACCACCTCAATTCCTATTGGGCAAGAATTGACGGCTGGATACCTAACACATGGACAGCTAAGTCGACTCACCTATCGTCGAATTCGACATGGACGCAACCCGTTCAAGTTGCAACATTCTTGAATTTAGAGGTATAAGAAGCAGAACCACAGTTCATCAGTGACCTTTGCTTAACGTTGATTAATTTTTTTCTATCATGGCATCAATTACGCCAAAATCGCTGTGTGCAAAGTGTTTTAAACCTTTAAATGCTGAAAAATATATAAGGTGTAACATTTGTGGTTGCCGGTTTCATTATATCTGCACTGAAATTGTTGATGTAAATATATTTGAAGTTATTAAAAAAACTAAAAATATATTTTATAATTGCAATGAATGCATAACAATCTCGAGAGAATTGGTTTCTTCCGTGTCTATGCTCTCAATTGAAGTTAGAGAGCTTAAGAAAATGCTGGTTGATTTAATTTCCCAATTTGATGTTTTAAAAGGAGCTGAAAGTCATAATCTCAATACCGGTTTGTCTAGTTCTGCTGCTCTTGGCATGATTAGTCGAGCGTCTCTCTCAGATAATCATCATTTATCTAATATCTCACCACTTGGTGTTGTTGCTGCTAATGCTGATCCCGTTTCCATAGAAGCCTCTCATTTATCTGTTGTGAATGCTGGTTTTAGCAACACAAGCAATGCAGTTAATGAGTCTGTTATTGTTGCAGATGCTCCAAACAGAGAAGCTTCACAATTATCTACCAATAATGTTATGCGTGATGGTATTGCTGATACTGCAGTCTGCGGTGAGCGCATTAGTTTATCAGCTGGTGCCTCTCCCCATGGTCTCTCGTCTTTAAATCATAACCCAACGAACAATGTTGATGGGGTTAGAAATATAAGTAATGTTAAACATAAAAAAGCGGTTTTTGGTCAAAATTCAAGTAACGAGTTGGATGTCGTAGTACATAAAAAATGGATTCATTTATCATCGTTTAAACCTACTGTTGTTGCTGAAGATATAATAGCCTACGTTGAAAAGCACTCTAGTATAACTAGAAATCATTTAACGTGTTATAAGCTTGTTAAAAGCGATGCAAACCTTGATGAACTGAGAAGTGTTAATTTCAAATTGGGCGTTACAGCTGATTTCTACAATGAAATTTTTAAGCCGATGTTATGGCCATCGAATGTGAGAGTGCGGCCATTTCATAATTTTCCCAGGGTCCAACAGGAGCAACCTCCAGCTTAATCAACCATAGCCTTTCCTCTCTTAAAATATATTATCAAAATATGTCTGGTATACGAACTAAATCTTCTGATATTTTTATGGAAACATCACAATGTAATTATGATGTCATTGTTTTTGTGGAAACGTGGCTTAATCCTGATTTTTATGATGGTGAATTTTTTGATACCAAGCTGTATAAATTGTACCGTAAAGATCGAGACATAGCTAAAACTGGATGTTCTCGTGGTGGTGGTGTGCTTATAGCTATTAATCTATGTTTTAATTCCGTATTAATTAATTTGCCAAATAATGACAGTTTATTGGACCAACTTTGCGTACGTATCATCGGTGCTACTAATTCAATTTATATTCTTGCTTCGTATATTCCACCTAAATCGCCAACAAGTCTTTATGATGCACATATCCAAAATATTGTTGATATTGTTCCAGAATCTGAAAATGATGGCTGTTTTATTGCGGGTGACTTTAATCTATGTAAATTAGTTTGGTTCTCATACCCTAATTCATCCTTTATGTATGCTAATAATGTTAATTTATCGCATGAAATTAATTTTATTGATTCTATGCTTAGTCTTGATTTAGTCCAAGTGAATTGCTTTCCAAATTATTTAAATAGATATTTGGATTTAATATATTTAAGTAAGAATATTAACTTCAAAATAGAATTATCAGATCATCCAATAGGTAACGTTGATTTAAATCATGTTGCGCTTGTTGTAACCATTGAATTTTACAGTTTTAGTTCTAATATAATTGATAACTCACATTTTGATTTTAAGAGATGTGATTTCAATATTCTAAATGAAATTATTCAAAGTTGTAACTGGGAAAGTTTATTCATAAATAAGTCCATAGATGAATGTTTCGATATTTTTCTTGTTAATATAAAGCGAATATGTTCTGAGCATGTGCCTACATTGAATCCTATTAAGTATAAAATACCATGGTATACCCCAGGTTTAAAAAAACTAAAGAACCTCAGGAACAAATTTTACAAACTCTATAAATCCACAAATTCGTTTGAAAATCATAATAAATATAAGCACTACAGCAGAGAATTTACATTCCTTAATAAGTTTTTGTACAAACAATATATTCTTGATTTTGAATCTAAAATTAATAATAATCCAAAGGCATTTCGGTCTTTTATTAAACAAAAGAAATCGTCCAGTGATTTTCCAATACCAATGGTGCTTGATTGTAAATATGCAACATCTTTCAAAGATATTGCTGAATATTTTGCTTCATTTTTTAAATCCAATTTGGTCCCAACTGATGTTGCAGATAACAACATTTCGTTGGATTTTGTTAAGGAAGTCATAAATATGGGTTCTATTAAATTAAATGAAACAGACGTATTACGTGGTTTTGAAATGTTGAAAGATTCAACTAAAATTGACATTGATGGAATTTCGCCTTATTTCTTAAAACAGTGCAGTAAATCCATTTGTTTTCCCTTAGCTCATATTTTTAATCTCTCTTTATCTAAAGGTTTATTTATAGATAGATGGAAGATTTCTTCAGTTACCCCTGTTTATAAAACTGGTGCTAAGAATGATATAAAAAACTATAGACCTATATCAAAATTATCCAGTGTTTCCAAGCTTTTCGAACATATTAAATTTAATTTCCTTTTTAACTCAGTTCATTCATTTCTATTAGTTTCTCAGCATGGTTTCATAAGAAATAGATCAACGGTGACAAATCTTCTTCTTTTTACAAATTATTGTATTTCCAATTTTGAGGATGGATATCAAGTCGATGCTATCTACTTTGATCTTTGTAAAGCATTTGACAGAGTTTCACACAAAATTTTATTGGCAAAGTTGCATAAAATAGGTATTCATTCTTCTTTTCTATTATGGATTGAGTCATATCTTACTAATAGGCTTTGTTTTGTTAATGTTGAAAGTTTTAATTCTGACTACTACGTTGCCACTTCTGGTATACCACAGGGTAGTAATTTAGGCCCCCTATTTTTTATATTATTTATAAATGATATTGATTCTTGTTTTCTTTTTGGGAAATTTCTTCTATACGCGGATGATATTAAATTATTTGCAAAAATTTCCAGTTTTCAGGATTCTAAATTATTACAAGCTGATATAAATCGATTATTTTCTTGGAGTCAATTAAACAAATTGGATTTCAACATTTCTAAGTGTGTTCACCTACCATTTAGTAGGCGTTTACAAAAAATTGATACTCAGTATCAAATTAATAATATTTTATTGTCAAAAGTATATACTAAACTTGACCTTGGGGTTGTTTTTGATTATGAACTTTCATTCAAATATCATATTGATTATATTATGCCTAGAGCTTATTCGGCTTTAGCATTTTTAAAACGCAATTGTAAAGAATTTTCCGATCCATATACTCGTAAATTATTATTTACAACTTTTGTTCGATCTAAGCTTGATTATGCGTCAATAGTATGGAATCCATATTATGCTGTGCACGTTAATCGCTTGGAAAGGCTACAAAAAAAGTTTATCTATTTTGCTTTATATTCATTAAAGTTTTCCTTACCTCTGCCATCTTATGAATCTAGGTGTAAACTTATACATCTGGATTTATTGAGTGATCGTAGATCTAAAATGTCTATTATTTTTCTTTATAAATTGGTTTGTGGATATATAGATTGTCCTGATTTGCTTCGGTTAATTGGATTCAAAGTACCGGCAAGACCCCTTAGATTTGTTGAATATTTTCATGTAAAAACACATAATAGTAACTATGCCCAAAATGCTTAACCAATTCAATTTAATAAATATAGAATTAAGTTTGGATTTTACTTATACTTAAGATAATTTAAAGAATTATTAGATTTACACTTTATCTCATAATAATCTAGTCTGTAAGGATTTATACTTCCATAGACTGAAATAAATAGAAAAAAATAGAAATAAAATAGAACCATAGGGTCTCCATATGGTATCCTTATAGAAGTCCTTGTGGGTAGTAATCTGTGGCTAGTAATCTTCCCAAAGAAGAACTCGTGGTCTTTTGATCTTCTCTAGGAAGAACTTCTGGTTTTCTATGAGAAAACCATCAGGAACTCTATAAGAATATATTCTTCACATAAATAATTCAAATAAATTTGTGTATGTATATTTTGAATATTAGCCGACTATCCTTTTATTTGATTTTTTTTCATTATATAATACATTTTTTTTAAGTTTTAGAACAAGAACATACATTGCATTAATGTTTGGCACACATATATTGGATTATGTATATATCATTATCTATTTATGTATAAGTAAGTAAAATAATTTCATTAAATTGAAGATTTCGTTTTGATATTCATCCAGATTCTATAATTATTCACGATGTTTACAATCCAAAAACAGTTGGGCTTGATTCTGCAAATAGATAATAACAACAATTAGAAATATTTATATAGAATATAAATTATTATAATCGTCATCAACTAACCTGAACAAATTTAAAGATATCCAAAAGCATTTCATTTGGTGTTTTGCAATTACCCGGTTGATTATCGAAAAACGATGCGCTCAACGGTCCAGATCGTTTACCCCAGTCGGGTGAAAATGTTAGCTGGCACTGGACACAGGTTGCCGCCAATAAAAGCAAAAGGACAGCTGCAGTTGGTAAGATAGCTTGACGTACTGAATTCATGTTGACTTCTGTTATGATGTCCTTTGGTTGCTTCGCGTTTTTATACTTTGAGAGATGCCGGACGAATCAACTTCGATCTGCTATGTAAAATCCAAATAAATTGCGTGCGTATATGGTAGCACACTTTTATGGTATCCTTTAATTAATTTCCAATGTTTATAGGGAAAGAAGTGGATACCATATTAATGTGTGTATGCACATACATATGTATATTTTTTTGTTAACCAATCTTTAGATTTTGCGGAATTTTCCGTGATTGGAAACAGGAATTATCGGGAGAAAGGGAGAGAGGAGAAATGTATTTTCAGAAGAAAGACCAGAAAAAACGTGAGCGGGAAAAAATGGAGATGTACAGGAATCAAAACGAAGTTCGGAAATTTTACCAACGAGTAAAACACCAAACCGAAGACTTTGGTGCAGGCACATCTTCCTTTAGAGATGAAGAAGAAAACCTGGCGACAGATACAGACAGCATGCTGAGAATCTGGAAGGTGTATTTTGAAAAAACTTCTGGTATAAAATAGTAGCGGTGAAGAGGATACCCCAAAACCAATAATAGATGACAGTATAGAGTGTATACCACCTAGCCAAGATGAGGTCAGAATAGCATTAATAAATCGGCTGAAGAATAATAAAGCATGGCTTACCAGGCGAACTATTTAAGACTGATGGTCAGATGCTGGTCAGTAACATGCACCAGCTGATGCGTACAATTTGGCTAGAGGAATGCATGCCTAATGATGGGAACCTCAACATCCTGTGTCCCGTGCAAAAAAAGGAGACAAGACGATATGTGCCAACTATAGAGGAATAAGTCTCCTTCCCATCGCATATAAAGTGATATCCAGCGTGCTGTGTGAGCGACTGAAGACAATGGTCCATGACATTATTGGATCATACCAATGCATTCGACAGCCCTATCCGTTCAGAGGTGTTTAAAGTCATGTCTACGTTTGGCATTTCTGCAAAATTAATTCGGCTATGCTGAATAACTTTAACTGGCACAAGATCCGTTCAGAGGTGTTTAAAGTCATGTCTACGTTTGGCATTTCTGCAAAATTAATTCGGCTATGCTGAATAACTTTAACAGGCACAAGATACCGAATGAGGTGACAGTTTGTCGTGTGACTTTTTTAAGATCCTGCTGGAAAATGTCATACGAGAGGCACTCTGTACACCAAACAACACATGTTACTTGTCTACATCGATGACATCGACATAATGGGTCGAAAGTTGAGAGCAGTAACAGCCACCTTTGAACCAATTGAGAAGGATCCTGCCAAAGTGGTCTTGGCAGTAAACGGCGAGAAGACCAAGCTGATGGTATCAACGCGAAGACGTCCAGTAGACTCGGACTAACTGTGGAACTTGGGAACTACAGCTTCAAGGTAGATAAAGATTTTATATCGCCTGGCCACCTGCCGCCAGACCAAAATCACACTTTACAAGATACTGATATTACCCGTGCTGTTAGATGGATCTGAAGCATGGGTACTTACGCAAGCAGATGAGGCAGAGATATATTCTCAAAAAGATCTATTGGCCGATCTGTGTTGAAGCTGAATATGGCCGTCGAATGAACCATGAGTCTATTCTCCGACATCGACATTGTTAGACGTTGGCTAGGTCATGTTGTGAGAATGGATGAAGATGTCCCAGCTCAAAAGGCATATAAAAGCGAACCAGCTGATGGTTCACGCAAAAGGGGAAGGCCACGAATTAGATGGAAAGATCAAGTGGAAGTCAACATTGGTGAACATGGTTTTCAAATTGGAAAAACTGCGCAAAAACCGACGGGCTTGGAAATCTTTTTTAAGCTTGGCTTATGGAACGAAGGTTCTGTCAGAAGCCAGCTAAGTAAGTAAGAAAACAGTAATGAACTCAATTTATTAATTTACTTTTTAATTTGTTTATAAAAATGGGTGCATTTAGTTCGAAATATTGGACTAGGTCCTACTATATTCCGTAAATGGGAACGACCTTTGTAAGAGGGATATTTCCTGCAAAAAAAAAACATTATGAACTAGTAATGCCAAATTAAACCATCTTCGGTTGGAAAATACACCTTGAACCGTGAAAATACCAAAATAATCATTGGGCGCCAAATTTCTCACATGGCGTACCGAATTGGGTACGAACAAAGGTATGTCAAGTTCTATTGAAATCGGGTCAGATTTTGATATAGTTCCCATATGTAGGTTCGTCCGATTTTCTGTAAATGCTGCACCAAACTTATCACCTTTGTCTGATTGAGACGAATTGAGTGTAGAATCAAGTATGAAAAGTTTTGTTGAAATCACTTCAGATATGCATATAGCTCCCATATATAGTTTCGTCCGATTTTCTATAAATCACACACCAAAAACCCTACTTGTATTCGATTTACACGACATTTTACCTATCTTACCGAATTGAGTCCAGAATTACGTGTGTTAAGTTTTATTCAAATCGCTTGAGATTTGCATATGGCTCCAGTGTTAGGTTCTTTCGACTTACACGAAATTTAGGATAATATACTGCATTAGGCCTAGAATGACGTGTATAAAGTTTTATCGAAGTCGGTTAAGATTTACATATTACCCCCACATATATTTCAAGCCGATTTCATTTAAATGATGCACCGAATATACAAAGTTTTTTCGTTTGCAATACACTTTTGCACAATGTACCTAATTGAACCTACCATAATGTGTATTAACTTTCGTTCAAATCGATTTCGATATAGGTTTATATATTTTTTGTTCGATTTTAAGCAAATTGGGCGCCAAATTTCCATTTGAATGATTTGGAAAATGAGGCTGTGCGAAGGAATGTAAGGAAGTGTCTAAGTTGTTCAGAAGGATATGCCGTAAAAAGGTTTTTAGAATGGCGACTGTGACTCAAACCCTCTCCAGGCATCAAACCTAACTCGTAAAAAAATCTCAAGGAAGGCAACTGGGACTGAACCCCTTTTAAAGCATCAAATGTAAAAATAAGGGTTAATCACATGCACATAACTGCGAAATTGAGTTCAGTAATCTTTAATCCATCAGGACCTTTCAGAGAGACCCTTAATGACGCTCGATCTTTGGTAGCATCTACCAGTGCGAAGAAAGACAAAGATTTGTCGAGGTCGTCTAGAAGGAGAGCCCGTAAGGCGATTGTGAGGCAAACCCTTATCCAAACATTAAACCCAACACACCAAAACAAATCAACCAATTGTTTCTCTCCCAAAATCCAGAAACAGGGATATAGCAATAACCACCTAAGAGGCCGTACCCGCAGCAGGAAGTACTCACGACAGCAGTGTCGACTTCAACGGCGTCTGTAACTCTGAGGATTAAGCCTCCAACACAACTTATGGCTGTGAAGAAGTTATGGTCCCCTATTGATCGACAATGAACAATGAAAAATCCCACTCAGTCACTTATACTGAAACAAACTGTTAAGGATGTAAATTAGAAACAAAGGTCCCAGATATCTGCCAGGGGTTCCCCATGACCGAAGTGTGGCAATTATTGGCCGAGCCGTGTGATGACCAATTTCTTTAATTGGCTGTCGACGATATACCGTGTGGAATGGTGTCTTCAAAGTGGATTCAATAACCTTTTTTATGGGACCGGAAAAATACACTGACACACAACATTAGTTAGAAAAAGTTAAGAAGACTTTAATATCGGCCGGGCCGAATTTTTTAATCCCTATCACCTTGAGATGGAAATTTAAATAAATAGCGGGTTATGCCATGGTAAATTTTTGGTAGAAAGATTTGGCATCCAATAGGAACCAAATTAGAGCCAATTCGGTTAAAAACGCGACCCAAATCCCCAAAATACCGAATAATAGGGGTAACGTATATTGGGGGCTATCCTAAAAAGTAGACAGATATCCATAATCATAAAAAGTGGACCAATATTGATAATTTTTGGTAGCAGAATTTGCTACTCAATTAGAATTCAAAATACTAAATTATAGCCAATTTGACTGAAAAACATACCCAAACTCCAAACCAACATTGAGAATTTTTGATAGAATAATTTCCCACCCAATTAGAATTCCAAACAATAAATGATAGCTAATGTGATTGAAAAACATGCCCAAACTCTCCGAAAATACCGAATAATAGGGGGTAGGGTTATATGGGAGTTATTTTGAAAAGTGGACCTATTGTTTTTGGTTGTCTACGCAATGGGAACTCAATGTATCAAATTCGGTTTAAAAACGTGCTAAAAATACCCAAAATACCGAATATAAGTTCCATTATATGTGGGCTCTACCAAAACGTGGACCGATATATCACATTTTCAGTATCAAATATCCTAGACGTAGTAAAAATGTACGTGCAAAATTTCGAAACTCTATTTTAAATATTGCAAGCTATATAGTGATTTCAACAGAAGGACGGACTGATGTGGTGGGGTCTCCGGTGACTAGTTCGAGGTATTACAAACGAAACGAATAAATTTAATTCACACACCAAATACTCCAAAATACGTCTATATGAGGTGGCATGACCTGGCATGAAAAAATATGTTCATTATAAAAAAAAGGAAAACAGCTATGCAGCTTAAGGTTTGTTATTTATGTTATTACACTTTATTAGTTAAATTTATTTATTTTCTCTTAATATCCCAAATCGAATACAATAACAAAAAATATTGAATTTCACATGTTCGGCGGCAATATGGAAAATGTTTTGTCATATGTAAATATTCATCATGTTTATGCACAAAAATACATACATATATAGATGTAATAACAATTTGTAATGCTAAACAAATTAAATACTTGTATAGTCGATAATAAAATTGTAAGTTGTTGTTGTTGTTTCTTTTTTATATATTCCAAATATTTTGGCAATTGATGATTCTTGGCTTAAAAAAAAAACAAAAAAAATAAAAATTTATGCTAATACACATTAAATGTTACATATATATATAATATTTTATATAAATTATTATTATTTGTAATAAAAAAATTATTGGATAAAAATATGATGTTTGTTTTTTTAATTAATTCATTAATTAATTATTGTTTCTGGTTTTGTGCATAATTTCATTTCGTGCTATATATCGAGGCACTTTTGTTAATACAGTTTTGTTTTTTTATAATAAGAAATGTATATACATATATACGGTTTTTTGTTTTTTTTTCTTTTTGGTTTTCTATATTAAGCAAAACAATTACACAAGCCAATCTTTTGAGAAATAAAAAAAACACAAGGTATAAAACGTAAAAAAAGAGATTTCAAAAATAATTAAATTTTAATTTTTAATAAAACAAAAAAGTAAAAAAAAACATGGACATAGTCTGTTTGCTACTTTCACAACTAAGAGAATAAATGAATGCAGCATTGAGCAAAATATTTTAAATGGAACAGATTCAGGTGAGATACTTAACACAAAAATAAATGACATATTTTTTCACTCACTGTACATTACAAATATTAGTTGCAATAATAAAAAAAAAATATGATTTAATAAAAATTGTTTACAAAAAGAATTTAAATTAGTTCAAACATGTCTTCCTTGTGTTTTTTAACTTTCTCAAGCCACACATTTCTATCTGTTAATATAGCCGTTATACAATACTAATTAAAAAATAATAATAAATTAATAAATTTCAGCTTTTAGTTGTTTTGTGTTTGATTTGATTTGAACGTTAAACATTTACGTAGTATAAAATTGTTTGTTTCTAAATTTGTTTAGAAAACAATCGTTGGTTATAATGGTTTTTACTTTGAGTATAGATTCGATTATAATTCATGTTTTTTGTTTTTAGTTTTCCTTTTCTAATATCCAAAATAGTTTCACTCAAAACACTGGCAGTTTTTCATTTTTCTTTTAATTTGGTGTTGGTTTCTTAATTCCATCGTCATATCCTCTTCATTTAGTTATGTCGTAGATATGTTACAGTGACTGTGAGACTGCTGTTCATTGTTTTTTTTTATAATACACAACATCTGCTCTTCTTCTTTTTATAACGTTGCTCCTCTATTAACGGTCTCTCGGCCATTTGGAATTTTCTCACGAGTCGAACTAATTCATGAAATGCCTGATCGACATTCACCCTCAATTTGGCACTACACTCAATATAGGGTATCATCAGATTACGACTAATATTTTGTGCCTCTTCCAGTGATACCTGACGCTGATGTTCCAAATCACACTTATTGCCCACCATCAACATGGGGAACTCATCGCGATCCTTGACGCGTAAAATTTGTTTTTGGAATTTGGGTATTTCATCGAAACTGGAATGATCGTTGAGTGCAAAGACTAGCAGAAAACCTTCCCCCGAACGCATATATTGTTCACGCATAGCGCTAAATTCTTCTTGACCGGCAGTATCGAGGACTAAAACATGAACAAATAAGAACATTTTAAAAATAGATTATTTGAATTATTATTTGAACTGATTCAAAACTTACTGTCTAGCTTGGCTGGTACATCGTCAATGACACATTGTTTGGTGTATGAATCTTCAATTGTGGGATCATAATCGGTAACGAAGCAACTCTATAAAAAAAAAAACAAATCAATAAAAATATATTTCAACAATATTTAAAAAATACCATAAATATACAAAAATCTAGGCACAAATTAAAAGTTTAGAAAGACCTTTTTATTATAGACGATATAGCAATTTTATGTCAACATATGGAGCCAAAGGATTCTGAAGGATTTTCCAGTACATAAATTATGGCATGTGGAGGATTTACCATAAGTAATTTTTCATTTTTTCTTTCTGTTTGCCTGGAAAGTACCTCCCAAATTCCGATATTATTGTGAGATTGGGACCATTTTTCAAGCAAATTGTAATTTAGTCTCTCGGGTTCCTTTAGGTTGGAAAATGTCCCTACCAAGAAATACCAATACTGGTTGACTAGGGTAGTTCAAACAAAATTGGCTGTAATTTAGTAATTTGGATTATAGTTAGGTAGAAAATCGTTTAAGGATTGCCCCCATAAAACGATACACATTCTGAATTATCGTTAGGTAGAAAATCTTCCTACCACTTTCTTCCACTTCTACTTTTTTGGGTAGCCACAAAAGCCCGTAAACGTAACCAGACACCAGCATCCACGAAGACGGAGGGTAAGGGACTGTCGAAGTCAGTCCGACGGAGAGTCCGGGTATTGCGACCCCGGGAGCCAAATCTCGATCACAGCCCAGAGGTCCTCGGGGGAACAACAACCTGCTACTAAGAGACCCACGCAGACGTCTAGCGATTCTGCTGCTCAACAGGATGTACTGGATGATCTGCGATTATCAATCATTTATCCGGCTGACCCTGATGGGATTATCAGTGAAGATAAATGGTTGCTAGTCGACAGCTAATCCGACGAAGTTCATCGACGGACCCTACGGTTTGGCCAAATCAAACTAAGGAGTCTGCGGACTTCCTTAAGACGACAATTAACAGCTGCGACCCTCTTTGGGAAGGTAGCAGACTGTAAGTCGTAGCGGTCCACGAGATACTAAGCGGAATGGTAACCTCTGTGGTAACCTTAGTGGAAAAACAGAACGACGGCCTTCAGATGAGGATGTGGAGAATATGGACGACTCTTGGGTTATGAACTGGGAAGTATTTGTGAAATGCTCCTTTTCGGACTGATATTTTTCCAGATTCCTATCTCCACAGATAAACAGAAGCCTTATAGGAATCCTCAGAAGACAACCTGGGACAAATTCAAAACAAAACAGCATCCTCAATCCGGCGTCATAAAGATCTCAAAACGGTTTAGGATGTTGAGGAATCTGTGAAGAATGTCACGGTCACTCTTTTGAAGAGCTATAAGGCTCTTCCTTTAACATACCCTGGGAAAAGAACTCAGCCAGTATGGTGCTCACAAAACCTTGCATCATAGAGAAAGGCTGCTAGGAAAGTATACGATAGAGCTAGTAAGACAAAACTCAGTACAGATTGGGACGTTTATAGAGAAAACTTCAATAGAATACAAGAAATCAAGAAGGCCAATCGTGAGTCTTGGGTCTGCTATAGTGAATAAATCTTCCACTCTCCCTTTTTCTTTTCAGTTATGTGTAGCACGTAGTGCCGTCTGTTGGAAGTAAACTTTGACAAAATCAACACCATGAAAATCCGACCATAATAAATCATTAATGAAATCATCAATGAAAATGATTTCTCGATCAAAGTTGGGCAGATTTGCACACCAGCGTTAATGTGTTCTCATAACATTTTTGATGTTAAAACAAAAGTAAACATTAATGACAAATTTTTCCGCAATTTTTTAATGAATTTATTTTGCAAACTTCCTTGCATGTTATTTATGTTTTTAAAAAATTAATCAATTAAATTCCACAGAATAATTCTTGGTTTTATTTTCTCTTAAAAAAAATGTTTAAGAGAAATTTTGCCCACCGTTGTTCTCGATAGAAATCCGTATCATTTTTATATTTTTATGCACTTCAAGGACCTAAGATACGACGATATAAATGAGTTCAGATTTAACTGAATAATATAAGCCTTCAGATCCAATTCTTTAAGCAAAATGGGAGTGGAATGAACAATCTAAAAAACTTTGAGCTACAAGCATTCCTCACATCACTAACATGTCCCCCATCGGCTCAAAGTTCTTCCCGGTGACCCAAAAATGATTTTATTTTGCAAACTGCGAACTAAGGATGTCCATCATGTTTGCATTGACTTTTAATAAGTGCAATACGTTGTTGAAGCATGTATCATTCCATCTTTAGCAGTAGTCTCTGCTTGTCAAAGAAAAAGATTAACATTTTGAAATCATAAAAAAATTCTAGATCAAAAATTAAATTATCACAAAAAATAAAAAAATAAAGAATTTTCCAAAAATACAAAAAAAAACCTAGTAAAAAACCAAAACAAATCCATTTTGTTAACATACGTCATGTTTTATATTCTTTAATTGAATGCTGATGAATCTCAATGGAGATGTGCTGTGTGGTGGGATGATGCTAGGCGATCAAAATCAAACAAAACAAAACAATATAAACATAAATACTAAAAACATATGAATATAGACGGCTTTTCTGTTGTTTGGCATTGTATGGATTCGATATAGTCAGTCGTCTTCATGGATGTTTGTATATATTACATACATACAAACAATCGTACGTTAAGAAAATATAAGCAGAAATGACGTAAACGATCAAAAATAAATTATACAAAAAGAAAAAGAAGAAAGTACAACAACACGGAATAAAAATAAACAATTCTAATTTTTAATAAAAACAAATCAAAAAAATTGTTTCAAACATAACAATTTTGTCTAGAATAAGAACAACTTTTTTGATATTAAGATAAAATAAATTGTCTATAGATAATCTCGAACAAGTCTATCACAATTTGTTAGACTATCATTTGGAGAGACAAGTTAATTATTTGTTTGTTCTCAAAAACCAGATTTTATATACACATTTCATGTTGTCGTTAAGTGTTGTTTCGGCAAAACAAACATCCAGAAAAGACTGCACAGTAAATGCAAATGATTTTGGACATTATAACTCGCCTATTTAGATTATCTTTTTTTCCCAATTATCAGCTGATATTGAAAGCAAAACATATGAAAATTAGATAATCAAATATTAAATAAGCGGCAGCATTCAGAGCCTGCCGAACTGAGCCGAACCTTTTATACAACGATAATTTTGAAAATATTATGCAGTCAAAATAGTATGTAACGATATAGTTTTTTTCGACATAATTATTTTACATAAATACCCGCAAAAAATGTTGCCCATTTGTTAGGTATCGCTTACAACGACTGTAGGCATATAGCGTCCAATGTAGGCATATAGCGTCCAATCCCTTGGCCGTCGTACACAGATACTACTGTGTATATATGGGTCCACCCAAGGAAATACAGATGTAGATGGCTGTAGAGAAGTGGTACTCATGCATGCAGCCCTTGCTTATATGCGTTAATAAGCTTGTTCTCTCGTTCTAACGCTTTAAAAAACACTTGAATATCCACAAAGGTAGTCACCGGTTCGAGAATGATTTCAGCCTGGAATACACTGCAGTTGCTATCCATCTTGTAAGTGTACTCAAGACTTAGTGACTTTTTCCATCTTCGAACCTTCTGTGCAAAAAGCCAGACCGTCCAGAGGAGAGTTACTACGGTTCCAGTCGTCTCTACAAGGGATATCGACATTTACAGCATCGAATATGAGGACAGGTGATATATAGTCGCTTAGTTAGTTGGTTCACTTTGATATCTGACTCGTTATGGATATATGCATGCTTCACTAAAGTTTCTGCCCTGAAGTGGTTGAAATCTTGATTACAACTTGATAATTTCCTATATCGACTTTCGAAATTTCACTGGAGCCCTTATATAGACTTTTTGCTATTGATTTTTAATCTTTGAGGAAATCACAAAGCCGACTTTCGATTTTCTTTATAAATAAATGGTTTATTATACCAAGGCCAAAATTGCCTAAAAATTACACATTGCAGAACTTGATGTTGACAGCAGTTATAAAAAAATTAAATTTTTAGTCGATTTGACAAAATCGAAAAATTGACTCTTTAGTCAAAGGCAAAAGTCTAAAGTCAATTTTTGGCCACAGGCAAAATTACATCCTCTTGCCCGATTAGAGGTCAACAGCACCTCTTCCTTACACTGACATATTTTCCGAATATTACTAATATTCAGTACAGCCCTCCTAATTACATGACTAGATTTCCTTCACCGTGGGTTGTGCTGTGATTCTTGGCTTATAATTGTGGCCTATTGACGCGAAAACAAAAAACAAAAAATTAATTAAGTAATGACAGACTTTATCAAAACAGGCATGTTTATTCTTTGGCCCGATCACCTTCTCCATGTAAAATTTCGCGATGTTCGGGCCATAATTGCGGCCTCTGGAGCGACCAAAAAACAGACAAAAATTCAGTATTTGGCCCATTTCATCCCCTAAACATTAACCGATCTTTACCAAAAAACAATAGGGGTCTTCATTAGCCAGAACCCGTCCTACATGCAAAATTTCGTTAAGATTGGCCCATGACTGTTGCCTGTATCGTTTTTACAAATTATAATGCACAGACGGACACACGTGTCTAGATCAACTAAGCTAGTCGAGATATGACGATCGGTATACTTAAAGGTAGGTCTAGGACGCGACGTTACAAACTCTTGGGGCTGCACAAAGCTATAATACCCTGACAACACAGTTGTGTAGGTATAAAAAACATGAGAAAAAAAGGGTTCAAACGTAACTTTGGAGGCACATATCTCTGGAAATACCGATTTCCGCAAGAAAAAAACTATACCGTTGTCATCAGGACCCCAAAGATTACATGTGGTAATAATTTCAAAACGATTCGGGAGGTTGCCCTAAACTAGACATAGGTCAAAATTGCCTTAACTGTAGTTTAGTAAAAACGATCAGATTTTTTTTGAAAATTTTTCCAGAGGTAGGTTTTTTTACCCTAATTAATTTTTTTTCTTGGAGGACGTACCCGGTTACCCGGTTATTTGACCCGGAAATTCGGGTACCGGGATCCGGTTAATATAAAGTATAACGGTTAATATCACTTCAAAACTTATATAAATACCATGATGGTATGATCTCAAACCGTGTTGAAGATACAGTCAAAAAACTGGCTTTTTGGACCCCGATTTTTTTTTTTTTAAACTCCTTAATAGAAATGGGTCCATTATGGCCCCTCTCACATCCCGACTCAAATGATAGGCCACAATTTGAAATTTCCAAAATGGTGCAATATGCGGCTGTATCTGTTGTGGATCAAAAGATGGAGAGGTATTTTTATAAGCTATAAAATTATACCCATTTTATATTAACCGGATCCGTAGAACCGTTTATATCCGGTTCCGGGTACGTCCACCTATATGAGTAAAGGCTCAAGTCATTTTTAATGCCCAGTCGAGGATAGTTTAGAAGTTAGATATATATATATATATATCCCCATAATTAGGGTAAAATAATAACTACCTCTGGAAAATTCTTCAGAAAAATATGCTCGTTTTACTAAACTTTTTCGACTGGGCCTTAAAAATGACTTGAGCCTTTACTCATCTCATTGAGTAAAAAGGCGCGAGCACAAACATCATTTGAGCTGATTTATGCTATGTTTTTAACAGGATTTGGACACCTTTATCATAATTTCGCTTCCGTTTCAGGCACAAGATTGTCATATTTAATATTTTAGTCCAATATGACACATAGCATTCTATGTGGGACATTGACTTCAATATACATCTCGGCACATACATACGACATGCAGACCAAAATGTATCGGTATGTAGAAACATACCCTACGTACTGCTTTCAACCAGAACACTTTGATGATTGCATCCGCTGTGTAGGTGTGGTTTTTATTCAACTTTTTTCTTTTTTTTTTTTGTTATTGCAGAATCTATCTATAGATGGAATTCACTTGTTTGGTTTTCAAGAAGTGTAGCGCACACACACACATAAATTGAATTATTAAATGAAAATGCTGGTTATGTGGGTCTGTTGGGAATGTTATCACAAATTCATCTTGTTTTATCTTGAATTTGTTTTAAAACGTATGTTTACTTTTGGGTGTTGTACCTCTTAAGTGTTTCCCTCATCTTCTTCGTTTTCATAATGCGCAACAGATGACTGAAGTCTAATTTCTATTGTATACAGTAACAATAGCAAACAATCAGTCAGTCAGTCAGCCAGTCACTCATTTGGTCATGTACCATAACTACTAACATCATCATCATTGCCACCACCATTATCATCATCATGGTAGTCGTCGTCATCATTATCACACACTATTTGCTTATGACAAAACACGCCTTGTTGCGCTTGTTTGTTGTTGCTGTTGTTGTTTCTGCTTCAACTTTTTAAATATGAAATTAATAAATAAATTTAAGTTTATTGGTTTCACACTATTGTCATTCATCGAGCACACACACACACAGATGTCCATATATAGATACATTGTGATCATGGTTCTTCACTTCCGAATAATACCATATATAATATATTTTCATCACCAAGTCCCCTTCCAGTCCTCCTCACCTGTATGAATTGTATTGTAATTGCAGATTTGCCCACCCCGCCACCGCCTACAACAACTAATTTGTAGGTCTGTGTTGTTGAGCCTTGACCATTATGTTTGGACGACATTGGTTCTCTGATGTTTTTCCGCCGTTTTTCTTACGATATATAAGTGTGTACGCGTATATTTCGTTCGCGTTTGAGTGTACCGTTATTTTGTGGGCGCAACAAACTTTGCAAAATTCTATATATTTCTAAAATTAAACTATATTTTTAGGTTCACGACAATCCAACACAATCACGACGATTAATGACAGCAATAGCGATGAATGAAATAGGGATAAGTAGTTTGACATTTGGCTAATCGATTAATCGCTCTCAGATTGTCAGAGATAAATGAGTGATGCCATGTTCATATGGAAGGAAAAACAATATTTGTACACGAATTTCCCTAAATTTTACCACAATTAGCTTTGAATGACAATATTGCTAAAATATTGTTTGCCTGCCAAACATTCCGGGTGTTGGACAGTCAGCTGTTGGATGCTTGTTTGTTTAATAACAGGCTTGTTCCCGTACACAAAAAACAAATTTTCAAACTTCTAAAAGAAAAATTTCAGCTAATTTCAAAAACGTCAACGAGCGTATAGATTATCGTATTTTTAAGATATTAAATCTTATTTCGATTTAGTTGCGAAATATAGTGGATTTTATCTAAATTAATCATCCAGGGTTATCTATTTCGTGGTGTCAAAATAAACTGTAAATAAAAGCCATATCTTTTATATATATATATATATATATATATATCTGTTCCCGATATTCACGGGTCATTTTTTTTATAAAATTTGAAGGTTGACATTATTGGTCGGTCTGTTCTTGCACTGCAAGAAGCAATTACTCTTTACTACGATAATACATTTCGTTTTATGTTATCGTTTTATGAATATAAACGGTCTTTCGCGTAACCCCAAAAAGAAAATAGTCTAATAGTGCGTTTAGATTTATGTAATCCACTCCATTTACGTATACGATTTTAAATCGACTCGATTAATGAAATCCAGAAATACACCCTTATTGTTTACACCTACCTTTAATCATGATCTAAATACATACAAAATTAATAATTTTGCATGTAGTATACATACAAAATTATTAATTTGCGCCAAATTATTTGTTTGCAATTTGAAAATGAAAAGAAGATTACAACAGTGAAAATGCTTTTGCAATGCTATGATCGTTTTTAAAGTAAAAAACACCTAAAAACACAAAAATTCTAAAAATAAATTTTATTTACCTTTGATCTTCCATTTTTGTATTTGTCAACCGTTAAATTTAAAAACAAACAACATATGAAAACAGTTCAAAATTTTGGTATATTGTGAGAGAGTTGTATTTTTTCGTACAAAAAAGGGCGTTGCATCTCAGTAGAATCATGATTTAAAATAAGCCCTGCCGCACGATTATTTATTTGTATAATAAATCGTGGTGATTTCTGCCAGATTAAGAAAATAAATCCTGTTTCAGCCTTTAATCATGATTCGAAGTCATATGTAAATCCGCTTTTAAGAGCAATGTTAATAAAAAAAATTGAGATATTTATTTACAGAAAATTTTATGGATTTTTTTAAACAATTTGAAATTGATAGATGAATTTTGAAATTAAAAAATTATTAATTTCTCAAATTAGACTACCTTCATGTTTAATTTACAGTACATTTAGATAATACGTTAAACAAGTGGGTATAAATTGTCAATTCCATTGCAAATTTGACTAATAATAAAATAGATCGTAACTAAACCTAATACTTATCAAGCCGAATTCTCTACGATTATTTCCGCAAGCCTTTTGTTAGTATAAAACGATTTCAGAGTATTGCTATGGTCTGTTACTGATTTTTAAGGTGTGCAATTTTATCTTTTACAAGCTGATTGACAATTTGAATGTTTCCTTCATTAGTATCTTTGAAGAAATCTGTAAATATGTTAATGTATTTTAAAAGGGATCGTTCTAGTTGAGGCAACGTCTAGGATAATATCACTGAATTTTCTTAGAGTTTGCGCATAGCTGGAATTAATGTTCTCTAATTTTTGGGCCTGCTCTATTGGAGGAAGGGCATATTCTTCGTTTTTTTTATCAGTTCTTTGACTGCACTTCTCTAGCCAAGTGACAAATAATTGGAATTGGTGTGGATTTGACTAATCCCAGAGATTAGGGAAGGCAGCCATGAATACTTATTTTTATTCTTGTTTCAAAATTTTTCGTTAGGTTTGTCAAAGCCGCAACACCGTATTAAATTTTGGTCGCGCAAAGGTTTTATAAAAATAGAGTGCGCTGGATGTAGCCAAGCTGAGGGAGCATTTTATAGCCACGGAATGCTTTATTTGACATTTCCATGTTGTCGGATGAATTCAATGGAGTACGTTCAAGTCTTGTAAGACAAATTATTGCCATTTTGGGAAAGCAGCAACAATCAAGGACTCGTTTTTTAGCAGGACAACGCACCAGTTCATAAAAGTCGCCATACTCTAGTATGGTTAAAGTCGAAAAATATTAAAATTTCCGACCAGAATCCGATCGAGAACATGTGTGGAATCTTGACTCGTCGTGTCTATGCAGAAAACCGCCAATACCAAACATTATTTTATTTCCAAGAAGTGATTATCGATGCATGGCGGTCAATCGATGAAGACTTGCGAATAATTTTGATCAACAGTGTGATGGATAAAATTTTTGAACTTATTCAAAATAAGGGAGGCCCTACCCATTATTTATAAAAGTTATTTTATTTTATTTAAGTTTTAAAAAATTAATTTTTCTAATTTTGTAAAAGTGCGTCTATAGTTATGCAACACCAGCAATTTTGAAAGTGCAGAATTCGGCGAAACCATAAAGAATAAATTAATTATTTTTGTTGAATAATATGTGTTTTTGTTCGTTTTATTGTGAACAATAACTTAATGGGTCCATTTTACTTGTCAACTAACATACTAATTGAATTAAGGGTGCGTCTATAGTTATAATACGCAGTATATATATATATATATATATATTAGTTATATTCGTTTGGTTACCAAAATATGTAATACATTATTGGGCTGTTCCCGTACTGTTATTTTCTCCGATTTTACTATTTTCTCCGATAACATAAAGGAAGATTCGTTATCGTAGTAAAAAGTAGTAGATTCTTGCAGTACGGGAACAGGCCAACGCCGGTTTATCGAAAAAATAGGTTAATTGAAACCAAAATTTATAAACTAATATTTCGGATGAATTTTCAAACACTTTACTTCGCTTAAATGAAAACCCGGTTAATTGAAAATCCGTATAAGAGAAAGACATTTTTTAATGGAAAAAACACAAATATATATGGAAGAAGCACCGTTTAAGAGAAAAAATATAATTTTTGTAACCGCTACGAAATGCAATCTCTAAAATGAATCTGCACATTTTCCAACTATACAAAAACAAAATTTCAATAGAAAAAGTAAATTCTTTCTCAATTGATTTCATTATTTATTAATATCACAGTTTTTCATAATTGATTGAAAACTTCGTTTAAGCGCAACGAGTTTCGATTATCCGAAGTCCCCTTAATTGAAAATTCTGCAAGAGAAAAAAATTTACTGAAATTATGCATTTTCGCCTAACCGAATTCGACTGTATATATATTGTGAGTTGCTATAAAACAACTTGCCCTTTCAACAAATGCAAGGTATATTTAATAAGGTAGCCGCATCGGCCCAGCTGTTGGACAAATAAATGTCAAAAATGTTGTTGTAATGTTGAACCAAAAAATTAAAAAACAAAATTATGAATAAAAATCTCCGAATTTCGAAGAGCTTTTTTGGCAATACTTTTATTAACATTTTCTACAAGAATTTGTGTAAAAAAATCTTGTCAATCTGTTTGTTTTGGCAAAATATTTTTGACATATCAAAATACAATAACCGATGTTTGTTGTAGAAATTCGCCGATGCGTTGTCAAACGAAAGACATGATCAATTTTGTATAGACTCCTCGATTTTTCAACAGCAATGCTGTCGTTAATACGCTTTACGCCTTGCCTACAATTAGACACCCCATCTACCAAGTACCCACAATATCACAACTATCAACTACATGACAGTTACCGAATATCATTTGGCTAACGATTACTTGTCTTCGTCATTTATCATTTAGTTCTAAAAAAATTGTGAAAGAAAATTTCAAGTGAATTTATTCACGTTGAAATTAAAAAAATATATTAAATATATAATACAAAATAATTAAGTGGATACAGAAATGGCGAGTCTTGGGGGTGAACAAGAATATACAACACACGATCAATCAGGTATGTGCAAAAAACACACACAAAAATGCTAAAATATCTACAATGGAAAAATCTACACCGAAAAAGAAAGAAATCTAAAAATAATGTAACATAAAATAATGGACTGATAGAAACCAATAAGGATTATGGCTGAGTGAGCGAGTGACAAAGTTGGTGTGTGTGTGGTGCGAAGAGAGAAAGAAATAGTGTGGATGAGAGTTGTGAGAGAACAAAAGAATGCGGTGATTAATATGGCAAAAAAAAAAGAAAATACACGAATCTATAGTGAGATTGAGGAAAAAGGCAAAAATTTTGTATGAAGACAAATTGTGAGTGTCGGAACAAGAAAAAAAAACAAATCGATTTAATATCAACCTTGACTATATCAAAATAAAAAAAAAATATGTCCGAAACTTATGGCAGCACCGCAGCTGTGTGATTCCGATTGTCCGGAACAGCCTGTTTAATATACAAGAAATAAAAAAGAATAAAAATCGACATTATGCGTGTATGTGTGTGTGTGGATGTATGTACAACAGTGACTGGCAAAAGTTTACGCTGTTATTCCAAAGAGTTTGTTTTCAAATAGATCGACTGGAAGAAGTGCTCTGTTTCAGTTGGAATTCTAAATTTTTAGTTATTTCGAAATATTTGCATTGGTTGAACTAAATGTTATAAATGAAAACCAAAATCAATTTTATATTGAAAACAGTTTGGAAATGGAAATATTCATCCATTTTTGGGTATTAACTTATATCGGTCTCAAAGGGTCGGCAATACACTATTATTTTCGTTTCAATGTTGGCTTGCGGTTTCGTGCATTCAGCCAGCTG